AGCCTGGTAGGAGACTGGATTGGCTTACCGGGAAAATCCTTGGTGAATTTAAGCACAAAAAGGACATTACAAAATGTTGAAACTTGGACAAATGACCAGGGAGGGGTTTAAATGTATATTGTTCGAGAATGCCGGGGGATTATCAGGAAGGCAAAAGCGCAATTGGAATTGCGACTGGCAAAGGATATGAAGGATAACAAGAAAGGTTTCTACAGGCATGTTACCAAGAAGAAGGTGATCAGAGAAGGTGTGTGACCCCTACTGGATAAAGGAGGTAACCTAGTGACAGATGGATGATATAGGGAAAGCTGAAGTACTCAATGCTTTCTTTGCCTCTGTATTCACGGACAAGGTCGGCTCCTGGACTTCTGAGCTAAGTGACGTAAGATGGGATGAAGATGGACAGCCCTTGATGGATAAAGAACAGGTTAGGAACTCTTTAAAAGGCCCTGCTGCTCACTCCCCCACCAGGCTTCCATGCGAGGGAAACAGGAAATAGCAGACATTTCACATGTCTGGTATTTTCTGTTTTTTTTTTTTTTTAACGGACAAAGGATGCAAATACCCAACTGTCCAGGCCAATACCGGACACCTGCCAACCCTAACTGTGCATATCCATCTCTTTCTACATAGGGGAAAGAAACTCATTGATTCAAAGGCTCTGCTCCAGCAAAACATTCATGTATGCAACTATAAGCATGCAAATACTTCTACTTTCAAAAAAGTGAAGAAGGACAATCCAGGGAACTATAGAGAAGAGTGAGGGGGGATTTGATAGCAGCCTTCAACTTCCTCAAGGGGGGTTCCAAAGAGGATGGAGAAAAGCTGTTCACGTTAGAGACGGATGGCAGAACAAGGAGCAATGGTCTTAAGTTACAGTGAAGTCCAGGTTGGATATTAGGAAAAACTATTTCACTAGGAGAGTGGTGAAGCACTGGAATGGGTTACCTAGGGAAGTAGTGGTGTCTCCATCCCTAGAGATTTTTAAGTCTCAGTTTGACAAAGCCCTGGCTGGGTTGATTTAGTTGGGATTGGTCCCTCCTAGGGCAGGGGGCAGGACTTGATGACCTTCTGAGGTCTCTTCCAGCTCTATGGTTCTATGATTCTATGAATTTATCCAATCCCATACTACTTTAGCATAGTTTTTGATACAGTTTCCCACAGTATTCTTGCCAACAAGATAAAGTCAAGGCATATCATGTTCACCACCTTCCCCATGTCCACAGAGCTAGTTTGCTCGTTATAGAAGGCAATCAGGTTGGTCAGGCATGACATTGCCCTTGGTGAATCCATGTTGACTATTCCTCATCACTTTTCTCTCTTTCAAGTGCTTCAAAATTGATTCCTTGAGCATCCCTTCCATAATTTTTCTGGGGACTGTGGTGAAGCTGACCAGTTTGTACTTCCCCAGATTCTTCTTCCCTTTTTTAAAAAAGATTGCCACTACATTTGCCTTTTTCCAATTGTCCAGGACCGTCCTCAATTGTCCAGGACCGTCCTCAATCGCCAGAGTTTTCAAAATAATGGCCAATGGCTTTTCAATCACATCAGCCAACTCCCTCAGCATCCCCAAATACACACATCAATGGGGCAGGATATAATGTATGTCCAGCTTTTCTAAATATTTCTTAACCTGTTCTTTCTCCACGGAGGGCTGCCCACCTCCTTCCCATACTGTGCTGTCTAGTACAGCAGTCAGGAAGCTAACCTTTTCTGTGAAGATAGGGGCAAAAAAAGCATTGAGTACTTCAGCTTTTCCCTGTTCTATCACTGGATTACCTCCTTCATTTAATAATAGTTCCACACCTTCCCTGCCCACCCTCTTATTGCTAACTTGCCTGTAGAAACCTTTCTTGTTACCTTTCACATCCCTTGCTAGCTGCAATTCCAATTGCACTTTGGTTCTCCTGGCTATACCCCTGCATGCTCAAACAATATGTTTATACTCCTCCCTAGTCATGTGTCCTCACTTCCACTTCTTATAAACTTCCTTTCTGTGTTTAAGCTCACCAAAAATTTCACTGTTAAGCCAAGCTGGTTGCCTACCATATGTGTATCATCCCATCCGGTCTCCGTTATTGCAATCAAATCATAATTCTTTGACCGTGTCAGGACTTCTAATTCTTCCTGTTTGCTTCCTGGGCATCTTACGTTTGTGTGCAGACACCTTAGATAGCTATCTAATTGCCCTACTTGCTCAATTAGGGGTCCTCTTCTGTTGCACCTTCCTCCTTGTGTTTCTTCCTCGTATCCTACTTCCCCACTTACCTCAGGTCACCATCCCCCGATGAATGTAACTTAAACCCCTCCTCGCTAGGTTTGCAGGCCTGCCTATGATGATACTCTTCACTCTCTTCATTAGGTGGATCCCATTTCTTCCTAGCAATCCTTGTGTTTGGAACAGCATCCCACGGATGAAGAATCCAAAGCCTTGTCTCCAACACCAACTGCGCAATCACGTATTTACTTCCAAAATTTGACAATACCTGTCTGGACTTTTTCCTTCAACAGGGAGGATGGATGAGAACACAACTTGTGCCTAAAACTCTTTGATCCTTTTTCCCAGTGCTGTGTAATCTGCAGTGACCCACTCACGGTCATTCTTCGCAGTATCATTGGTTTCTATGTGCAGAAGTAGGAAGGGGTAGTGGTATGAACTCTTGATCAGTTTCAGAGAGCATCCTGTATTTTGGCTGCAAGCAGCAAGCACACTTCTCAAATTTCCTGGTGTGGATGGTAGATGGATGACTCTGTCCTCCTTATGAGGGAGTCCCCGTCTACCACCACCCTATCTCTTTCTCTTGGGAGCGATGTTCATGGAACCCCCATCCCAAGGTCTGTGCATCCCATGCCTTCTGGTCGATGGCGTCTCCTTCTGACCCCTTCCCTCAGAGGTCTCTGTCAAAGCATTCTCCACTGTAGTATCTGTGCAGAGAGCCTGGAAATTGTTGCTTACCTCTATCTGGATTGGGGATACCTGAATTATCTGTTGTCTTCTGAAAGTCACATGCTGCCAGTTTTCTTCCCTGTTTTGCATTGTCCTCTCTCTTTCTTCAGCATCCTGTATCTGCAGTATAAGATTCTGACTTCTATCTAGAAAGTCTTCATTTTCACTGATGGAACAAAGGATGACACTTTAACCTTCTCTTCTAATATGGAGACCAGATTGCACTTGTACAGATGAATTCTCTTCTATGCTCTGGGAGGAAGACAAATATGGCACATCCTGTGCAGGTCATAACAGCTAATCTCTCACTATCCATATTGTCTTCCTTCTGAAAGACTCCTCAGATGTTGTATTGATTGCACCTGACGCCTGAAGGAGAGAACAGAAGGAGAAAAAAGAGAAAGACAAACTCCAACCACTGTGTGGTTCTCCCAAGGTAAATTCCCAAGCGAACTCCCATTTTTAGCTGCTGCTTTGTTCACTGCTCTCTCTGTTCTCTCTGGCTGCCTTTTTTTATAAGGCTGCTGATTCGAAGCAAGTCCCTGGCTCAGAGCTTTGTCTCCAATCCCATCAGCCCCTCATGGTTCACTTGAAACAAAGTACTCCCGATTCATACTTTTCAAACAGACGAATACACAGTCATACAGTCCCTGCAACTAGCACCAGTAAACAAATGGTCACAGACAGACAGATATTTGGATATTCGCCCTACCAGCTCACAGCACAGCCCCCGTAATGTCACACACACCTTAGCTTCTTTCACACACTGCCCAGGCAAACTCCCTCTATTAGCTGATGCTCTGTTCGCTGCCATTGAAGTATTTTGGTTCTTTATTCAGTACATATGCATTCATGCATTGTGAATGGTTCTACTCTATTTGCTTCTGTGCTCAAGAACTTTCTCAAGTTTTTTAGAATTTATAACTGGGTTCTCAAAACAGTGAATTGCTTGGGCTGACATCAAGCCATCTTTGTTTTGCAAGTCCTCTCTGAAATAACAGGATTTAGTTCAAGATACAGAGATTATCCATGTCTATTCCATTAATATAGAATAATTGACAGATTTGCCAGAATTTATTCTTTAAGCTTTATGTATTTAAAATTTGCTAATACCTTTTGAAGCATTTTTGTATCTGTAGTAGAACTGCTTGGTAGGAAAGAAAATGCCAAAGTTTACCACACTCACCTGCAGCTTGATGATGTTAGTCTGTGGAGTGAAAAATAATGTACTACGAAAGTAATGTTTTGAGACTCATCTCCAATTTATCACACTTTTCTTCTTTATAAAAGCACCAGTTTTTCCTGTGTTCAGTGTCTCTGCACTTCACTTTGTCAGTCATTGATGTCACTGGCCCAGTCTCTAGCTTGCCAAAGGGTGGAGTTCATGAACCAAAGGAAAAATCTCCAGTAAATCAAAATTAGATTAATAAATTTTCCTGGTCTGTTTTTTCTCTTAAATTCGCTCTTTATGGAGAATGATAGAGGAGGTACTCAGTACTTCATTGAAGAGTAGCCTAGCAGGTATATGTGAGAGCGCTGATGAAAACTGAGGTGCTTGTTAATCTGAGTAGCAATCTAAAATGCTCTTTGAACTGAGTTGACTTGGTTGAGCAAGGTATTAAGAAAGATATCCCCTTCCCTCAAATAATCCTCCTCTTCAATGTAATAATGGTGAAAAGGTTAAATCAGAGTAGCTTAATGAGAAATGTTGCTCCTGCATTACTGATTTATTGTAATAGTGCTTGACACTTTGGGTACTTCTAGACTACATGCCTCTGGCGACAGAGGCATGTAGATTAGGCTACCCGGCATAGGAAAATGAAGCGGCGATTTAAATAATTGTCACTTCATTTAAATGTAAATGGCTGCCGTGCTGAGCCGATCAGCTGTTTGTCGGCTCAGCGCAGCAGTCTGGATGCTCCGCGGTCGACATCAAAGGCATTTGTCGACCTCCCAGGTATGCCTTCTGGGATGAGGTTTACCTGGGAGGTCCACATATATAATTATATATATTTCCCTAGTCTAACATGTTAACGTATTTTCTTTTTAACAGCCTCAAGTACTACAGCCTTCCTGCATCCTTCCCAGTTCCACAGACCTCGTCCAGGGAAAATTAATAAAAACCCCACATATCGAGGCCCACAATGAACACCTTAAACAGGGCCTGCATGAAAACAATGATTGTTCCATTCAAAATGCTGCAAGTGGCTCTTTCATAAAGAAGTTGAATATTTTGAGTAAATGTTTAAATATCAAGGACTTGAATGAGTGTGCACCTTTTGATGAGAATTTGAAGGTTAACAAGGGTGCTAAAGATCAAGGAGAACTGGCTACTAATGAAGATAGAACACCTTCTTCATTTCAGACAGCTACCCAAGTGGATGTTAAAGATGTGCAGACTAAGTTAGCTGTGAAAAGTCAACCTTTATCTCCAAGCCAGGCTTCTCAGCCAAAGACTTTAAGAGCTTCAGAGTCCCCAAACCAGAATGCTTTAGTGCCTCCTACAGTAGCCATTACTGCACCATCTCCAACCTGCTCCATTGCTTCCACGGAACCTAAGCTATCACCACTAAGTAGTGCCACACAGCTACAATCAGCAGCTAGTCAGAGAAACCTAAAGAGTAAACCGAGTCAGAGAATTTCTAAACTTCATCCGCCAACTATTTCCTTTGTTAAATGTAAGCAAATAAGAAACCCGAAATCTTTGCTTATATCTGCAGAACCTCAGATCTTCCATTCCAAGACTAACATCCCAAGGCCGCTGGCACAAAAAAAGGAAAATGTGCAAAATCAGAGTGCCAGTTTGCATTTTGGGGATAGTTTAGCCTCTAATTGGCATTCCCGCCTCCCTAAACCAAAGACACATTAAAAACATGACATCCATATGCACATCTCATTAGAAAAAATTATACATTGCTTTATTTATGACTTTATCCAAATCCTGAATGAGTATTAAAAATGGGATCTGTTATTAAAATTTGCCTATTGCAATCTGAAAGTTGATGCAATCAAAAACTGTCCATCTTCTCTTAAAAGATCATAATGGTTTATACTTGCATCCTGTATTACCGTTCTGTCTCTCCTAATAACTTAACAAATACTGAAATCTGTGATGACCACTGAGCACTTTTCCACGGTGTTTCACCATGCATTTGAGAAGGGTAGTTTGCTTGCAGAATTAATTACTTGTTTTTATTAATGTGAACTGTTGGACAGCAGAATCAATATTCAATCTAATCTTTCAGTTCTGACTTCTAGTTAGATTTATAGCAGTGGAAAATTAACTTAGATATCTAATTTATTAGCATATGTTACCCTGGACATAATTTCACTCTATTCTAGAGGCCTATGCAAAATCTTCATACTTACCCAAATTATCTCATGACTCTAATAAAATATAATTAATGTTGTTTTAATCTAGATTTGATACCCTGAAGGTATCACAATGCTGCTGTATTTGCTTTTAAGCTGCTCTTTACCATTCACGGATTGCAAACAGATCTCATAGGGTGAAATAGCTCTTATTTGCACAGAAACTTCGATCCATCCGAATAGTGTACTGAAACTGTAGTATCTCTTGTGGTGTTTAATAGATATTACTGGGTAAATTTTTGTAACAGAGAGCAAAGGATACTTGTGCAAAAAAACTGTGCAAGTGCTTTTCAGAAGGTGTATAATGAGCCTCTGGGGATACGGAATCCATAAAAGCTGAGCTGGTGGTTTCACACCATACATTTTAATTATTTAACTTTCTTGTACTATTTTTATATGTATTGACTTCCTGCTTATTATTGGAAGAACTGAGGTATCTGAGTTGAAATGTTTGCACAAAACTTGAGCATATATTCAGGGATTTGAAATTATTTTACATAATAAAACTTACTTTTAAAAAGCCCTTCTTTTTCTAAGACCCGCAGCTTTGCTTTGAGCAATTTTCTGATGTCATTCTTAGACCTGGAAATATGGTTATTTCAGGGAAGGGTACCTTCTCAAAGATAGGGGGTTCCTAGGAAGGAATTCTGGGAAAATAAAATAAGGAAATACGTTTCTTCTCTCTTTAGCAAGATATCTGGTCTTCAGATATTTGTCAGGTGGTAGCAATGGGGTCCCAAAGTTTGAAAAATACACATACTATGGGTTGAGTAAGTGCATATCCAGCAAAGTGTTCCAAAAATTTACCCTGGTATCCCCCGGAAGCATAGTACCTTGTTGTCTTTAGCTTATGTATACCTGAGATGCAAGACTAGCAGCAGAACAGTCAGAAATAATATTTTCAAAAACTTACTCTTCAGTATGTAATAAAACAGAGGAGCAAGATACTGTGCTTATAGGCCTTTGCAGAAGGAAGGTGTAATACAGTACACTTTTCCAGGGAATATATTGTACATGTATATCTCTACAGGAACTTTTCAATAATGAACTCTGGCTCATAAGACAATGGTGGCTATCCCAGTGAAAAAATAAGTGACAAACTTTTGAAGAGATAACATATGAACAATGCAAGCATAGTGCTGACAGTGTGCTCTTTTAATCAGGAGTTAGGTGAAATAATTTCATAAGTATACTTTGTTTAATCTGTTCATTTCACATCTGGTTATACAATTCTGAAATGAAACAGATTAATGTTTTATGTTAACTTATTTTTAAAAATCTATTTACCATTAATATTGTACTTGTTACAGAAATTGATCAAAACAAGTCTAAGCACAAGACTACTGTTATAATGACTTAAGTTTTTTTCCTTCTAGAAACATCTTGACAATTCTGTTTGCTGTCCAGAAGCAGAGCAGGTCTTATATTTGAGCAGTAAATAAAATTGACTTTGTGTATAGTCATAGAATTAATTCCAGGTGGTTGACTGTTTCTCTAGAGTTTGAAAATTGCTGATGAAATAATCATGTTGTTGGCTCATTTTCAGGTCTGAATAGATTTTTATGGAAGTTTTGAAAGTTGACTTTACTTAAAGGGAAGGTGATTTTATTTTTAATTGTATATAGTTTGAGGGACTTTCATGAAAAAGAATGCTATTGGTATAGAGATATTTCAGAATGGATTCTGTTATTCTCCCTTTCTTCCGTCAGTCCCCTAAGTTTTACCATTCTGATTTACTTTTCAAGAGATGGTAAAAATAAACTATTTAGTTTAAAAAAAAAAAACCTGAACTTTTACTGATTTTAAGATACAAAGAAAAGAGCCACCAAGGTTTCTATGGACATACAAAATTATTTTAAGATTTATTTTTGAAAAAAAAAAGTTGTGGTTCTTCTTGTTTCTATAGAAACTTCAGTAAGATATATTCCTTGAAGTGAAAATACATATACACACTCCCTATTTTACCCTAACAGACTAGTAAATAAGAAATGGAGCTATGGATAGCAGAGCTGCTATATGTAATAGACTACGATGGTAGTATACATTGTAGTCATGTTCAGTTAAAACTCCTTGCTAAACATTCATTCATTCAACACAAGTCCATATTTCTGTTTCTATCAAGACTTTAGCGAGGGTTGTTCCAGAGTATGTACAGAAAGTCCAGAGTGTGAGGTAAAGATTATTAGTTGAACAACTGGGAGAGGTGAAGTCTTGCTCTAGTGAAAGGGGAGAAAAAAGATACCGTATGGAAAACTTCAAGTCTGAAATTGTAGCAACTGTGCTTTAAAGATGGAGATGGTTGATTAGTACTGGTGTAGATTACTCTAAATGTATAAAGGTTTAGATGCATCTTTGGACTTCTTTACATTTCTAAAATTAGTTACTGTTGACTTTTTCATCTGTTTCACATCTTGGACTTTCTTTTGTGCAATATTCACAAAACTATTAAACTACTGTTCAATACATGTGTATAAAAAAGGCAAAACAAATTACATTCTAATGAGAAAACACAAGAAAAAATAAATTGCACTTTAAATTAGCTTTATTGCTTAGAGTTGTGCCTAAAATAATCTAAATGCATCCTGTTGTGTGTGGCTTTTTGTTTGAAACTAATTTCTGTGCAAGTGTTTCTGTTTCCAAGATACCCTTATATCATCTAACAGAATTATCATATACCCAGGCATGTGAAAAGATCCATATGCAATAGCAGGTTTTCATTGTACATTAATTTTAGCTTTTATAATCATGGAAATTTAACATTAATGCAGCTCAAAAGAGCCCCCTCATTTCTCTCCAAGGTAGTACGTACTTAATCCCATTTAAAATTAATGGCAAAACTTTCATAGGATTAATATTTAGACCTTGGAGAAAAATGTGTCTTGAGTATATTGTGGAGATAGTATTGCATATGTTTTTTCATTAATAACACAGGGGTTGAGGAAAGTATTACCAACCATTTCTATTGAAAATCCCCAAATCCACTAAAAATATTTTCATGCAGTTCACATAAAAATGATCCTAGAGTTCAAAATCAGACTCCAAGGAGATTCAACTAGATTGTATCATAGATCAATAAAAGGCAGTCCATTTTGGCTTAACTGCTGATGTAAAAAGCTAGAAGACTTGAATACCATGTGAATTGTTTATTTTGTTGTTTGCACATCACTCCCATAAGACATCCATATACTGGTTTATTGCATGTCTGGGGTGGGGGGAAAGTTTCAGATTTTGCACAGTACATAATACACTTAATATAAACATTCTCATATCATTAAAATGGAAATTTACTCATGAATTGGGCTCCTATAACTATCCTTTTTCATCTCATCATAGTGGCTAACTAAGGATCTTAGTAGATGATCATGTTGGTAGGCATGAGTTTTATAATCTACAACCATGCCATAAAGGAAATTCAAGAGTACTTCAATCACTGTTGTGGTAAAGCTGCTCACTGCCTACTTAAAGCACCACTATAATAACAATGTTAACTCCAGTGTTGATATTTATCTTAAATTCAGTATTGTTGGTTTTATTTTTTAAAACCAATTCAGAGAAAATACTGTATATTGGAATTTGCTTGTAAAATTCAGGTTTAAGCCTGTATGTAAAGATTATTTCATTTGTGTTGCACTAGTGAATACAAATAAAATTACTAATTCTGAGTATTCAGTTCTCTCAACATTCACTTTGTATTTTTACTTTACTCCACTGTAAATCTTCATTATGAAAAGTTAGTGCTGCAGGAAGGAAGCTGCACTGATGATTAATCTCTGCAATTGTACTTCTAGTGCTTTGTGTTACTAATGGATTTGTTGCCACCTCAAACAAGAGTCATTTTTGTCTAACGAAGATATTTGAATTTTTTTTTCCCTTTGTGATCAAAGTTAAGGAAGTCTGAAAACAAGAGAAAGTAGAAGACTAAAATTTAAATTGTGTCCTCTGGTAGAATCTGGTATTTAATCTAGATGAGAAGCAGAGTGTAATAGATTGATTAAGGTGACATCTAAAGATGGGGCAAGAAATGCAGAGTTTTCCTATTGAATTAACTTTTAATATTAAAGATTATGATGTACAATAAAATTGTCCTTGCTTCCAATTAAACTAAGTTGTGTATGCCTACTGCTCTCTATGTATACAGTATATATTCATTTATGTGTCTATATATGGCATTCTGAGAAGCCTTTTTAAAGAGGGTACCTAACAAGTTCAAAGGTTGGGGCTACTTTTGACTTTCTGCTAATTCCCCAGTATGTAATACATTTGTTTCTTCACTTTCTCAGCAGTCTAAACAGTTAATAGCAGGATATACTGAAAGATATGTGAAAAGAATATCCATAAAAATAAATAGGTGAGTGCTAGTGATTGGTTCAAAGTGAGATATTTCAATAGGTTTTTAAGAAGCTTTCAAATGTTCAAGTGAAAGCTATTGAAAATTTTAAAGATTTCTTATCTGGAGGGAGAATTTTATTATTTGTTTCCAAAAGACCATAAAGTTAAGAATAATATTACTCTGTTGTTCCTATCCAGGAAAATACTTAAATTCATACAATTCCAGTGGAACTTGAGCACATGCCTAACTAGGTTCCTGAACTGGGGCCTAAAGCACTAGTTAGCCACGTATTTTCAGTGACCGAAAGTATTCAATCTTTACTCTTGTGCCTTGCAGTTCTCTGATATTTGTGGGCTTGGTGTTCCTATATACAAACATAGGTTCCAATAGAAAATAGTGTCCCATATTGTAATTTTAACCTATAATGGAGACTCTAAATTTTCTAAACTGTCTCCTGCATAGAACCTGGAAGAAAATGTCAAGTATCAATTTTAAAGTATTACATTGTTGCAGAAATTCCTTTAAAACTATGTATATGGTCTTGGCAGGTGTAATCCTTAAATCTGAAAAAAAAATCAACATTTCAAATTCATAGGAATCTCAGACATTAACCTTTTTGGCTTTGTTCCAAAAAATGATAAAAAGCTAAATTTTCAAAATTTTTCACTTAACACAGTGGTTCCCAACCTTCTTTATACTGTGGACCAGCAAACGCATTCACAAATTTTTGGTGGACTGGTAACATTGTATTTGCATATTCCTTATGGTAATTAATTTTAAGAGGTCACATGTTATTTTACATCTTATCTGTTGTTGTGGTGGATCACAGTTTGAAGACATGTACATCACTAAAAAAAAGAATAACAGAAAGAATTCCCCTTTGGCTGCTGTGTGGGGCAGTCCCTCCCACAGGAGTGACTTGTGCCTGCAGAAGGAGGGGCACAGAAAGGAGCACCCAGAGGGGCAGGGAGCATGTGGGGCACTCTGTTTGGCAACTGAAATTTTCATAGAATCATAGAACACTAGAACTCGAAGGGTCCTCGAAAGGTCATTGATTCCAGTACTCTGCACTCACGGCAGGACCCAATACCATCTATACCGGTGTTTCCCAATTGGTGCTCCAAGCAGTTCTGTGAGAACTCGGCACTCCCCCGCCCTCTCTTAAAGAGACAGAGCCTTTTTGTGGAGAGTCTTTTTTTTAAGCTCAACAAATTTTACCCTGGCAATCCTTGGGGTTCCTTGAAATTCTTTCAAGTTGAAAAGGGGTTCCGTGTCCAAATGAAATTGGGAAACACTGATCTAGATCAGCCCTGATAGATGTCTGTCTAACCTGCTCTTAAATATCTCCAGAGATGGAGATACCACAACCTACCTAGGCAACTTATTCCAGTGTTTAAACATCCTGACAGTTAGGAAGTATTTCCTAATGTCCAACCTAAACCTCCCTTGCAGTTTAAGCCCACTGCTTCTTGTCCTATCCTCAGAGACCCAGGAGAACAATTTTTCTCCCTCCTCCTAGTAACACTCTTTTAGGGTATGTCTACACTACAGAGTTAGTTCGAACTAACTTAGTTCGAATTAGTTAATTCGAACTAAGCTAATTCGAACTAACGCATCTAGAACTAAAAACTAGTTCGAATTAGCGTTTTGCTAATTCGAACTAGCATGTCCACATTAAGTGGACCCTGAACAGGGCTTAAGGATGGCCAGAAGCAGTGCCGGCAGGGCATCAGAGGAGGACTTAGAGTGTGGAGATGCTGTCTCAGGCTAGCCGAGGGCTGTGCTTAAAGGGACCTGACCCCCACCCCGGACAGACAGTTCTCAGGGGTGCCCCGCTTGAAAACCAGTCCTGGCTTGGAGTGCCCGGAGTGCCCACACTGGGCACATCACACCACTCGGCCATCAGCCCGGCTGCACTTGTCGCAGGCTGCCATCTGGAGAGAGGGGGCAATTGGGGGGCTGCAGGAGAGCTTCCACCCCCAGAAGCCCACAGAGCCAGCCCAGTCCTCCCCATCGGGGGCTCGTACCCCATTCCTCCCTCACCTCCTTCCACTTACCCTTCCCTAGCCCCCCTTCCTGATGTACAAAATAAAGAAAACATGTGGTCAAAAATAGAATCTCTCTTTATTGAACAAAACTGGGGGAGACTGGGAAAAGGAGGTGGGAGAGGGGAAGAGAGAGGGTGGGAGAGGGGAGGGCAACTACCCGTGCCCCTTTAAGAGGTCCGGGGCCGGGAGGGGGGCATAGAGTTTCCCTGGTGTTGGCCAGAGTGGCCAACAGGGAAACCTGGGGAGGGCTAGCCTCCCACTAGTTCGAATTAAGAGTCTACACAGCCCTTAATTCAAACTAGCTAGTTCGAACTAGGCTTAATCCTCCTAAAATGAGGTTTACCTAGTTCGAACTAAGCGCTCCACTAGTTCGAATTTAATTCGAACTAGCGGAGCGCTAGTGTAG